TGACCTCGTTTTACCTAAAAGTTGTTTTATATGTGGAAATATACGGTAATAAAAATATGAGGGGTTGCTAAAAAGACCTCAGACGGACCCTTGAGGGTATCGTAATTTTTTTTTTTTTAATTCTCATATTTCATTATTTGTTCAGATTTTAGGAATTGGATTAAACTGATAACTTTTCAGCACCCCCTCCTAATAATAAAAAAATTTAAAAAAATTTTTTTACAACATACCTTATCTTTCTTTTTTTCCACCCCCCTCTTGTTTGTTCCTCCAAAAAGTGAACAAATTTATATTTATGCTTGCTGGTAAGTCAACAGTCTATATTGCATGGTAAAGCTGCAAAAGAAAAGAAGCGGTTAAATAAAGCTGTATAATCTTTTGTGATAGAACATCCGGCTGACATGTCCACAATAAGACACTGTTGAAAGGATAGTTTTTCCCATGATACCTCTTTTAACTATTCTTCAGCAATGTTTATTGTCTTAAAAAGCGATTATTAGAATTGGAATAAAACCTAAACATATGAAAATGAATTTATACATTTTTTTTGTTCTTGAGAATTTACAGCAGAAATATTAAACACTATTTATTTATTAAGTTGTTTATTTACAACACTCTAAAAACTAATACACTTAGAACAAATGCAATGCAATAATTATCATCTACCAAATTATAAAGAAATGAATATGAAAATTTTTTATTCATGAATTTATAAACATTTACTAAATTATTAAAATATTTAAACCAACTGTAATAACAAAAGTACACAGGTGTAGGCTTTACAAAAGCTTTATTCAACTGAGAATACAAGGTTCGCGTATAGTGTCCTTTTATAGTCCCAGTAAACAGAAATAGCTCTCTCAAAGAGGAGAGTGACAAAACAAGGGGAGGCCACCTTTGATTGTTCATAACACCGGGATTGGAATCTTAATGGGTTATTACAAAGAACAAGTTTCACTCAGAGACATCATTAGACCTAGAGACTCACAGATAAAAAAAAAATATATATATAATTAAAGTATTATTTTAACCTAATTTATCTAATTTGTATTCATAAAGGAGGTAATTGTAATGACAAATGTACGCAAGTGTAGGCTTTAAGAAAGGTTTATTCAACTGAGAATACAAGTTTTGCATATAGTGTCCTTTTATAGTCTCAGTAAACAGAAATAGCTCTCTCAAAGAGGAGAGTAACAAAAAAAGGGAGACCACTCGATTACTCATAACACACTGTTTTTCTTTACTTTTTCTTTTCCTAAATTGCATTCTAAGTGTTGTAATAATAATAATAATAATAAAATATAACAAAAAAGAAAAACATTATTTACACTCTTTATATTAGGACTATTGTTCTCATCTTTGTTGTTGTTGTTATTGTAATGACAAAAGTATGCAAGTCTAGGCTCTAAGAAATCTTTATTCAACTGAGAATACAAGGTTTGTATATAGTGTCCTTTTATAGTCCTAGTAAACAAATAGCTCTCTCAAAGAGGAGAGTAATGAAGGGGAGATCACTCTTGATTATTCATAACACCAACTATAAGGAAATCCTTATTATTTACCATTTTATAAAGCTTGAATCAATTAGCAATTAACCGATGTTTTGTCAACCATTCCAATAAATAATAGTGTAAATTACCAACCTAATAAATAGTTTATTCTTTGTTGTTGTCAATTTCTTATGATACGCATTTTAGCTGTTTCTACAGTGGAAAGTCTTCAAGTAATCTTGCTGCTATTATCTAATAATTCTTTGTGATTCTGTAGTGCCAGTGTGGTCTTCATCAAGACTTGGCAGGCTTCATTTGCTAAAAGCCATTTTTAATCATTGATCTTGTTTTCCAGTTAACTTTGATCTTCAAAATTTAAATGCAAAGTCAGTCGTAATCTTGTCTTTTTAATTCCTCTTCTTTTAATGACTCACTCCTTAATAATTTTTTTTCTTATATTGCATCATAGTGGCTTTGTTGCTTTGCAGAATTAGAAAAGAAATTTAAGTTGCAATTAAGTGTTTTAGAAACTACTAAATTACAGTCAGATTGCACTTTGAAAAATTAAGAAAACAAAAAAAGATGCGAGAAAATAACTCCACTGTCAGATCCGTAGCTATGCTGAACAGACCTTAGTTACAGTTTCTGGGAGAAAATGCATAATCTGATGCAATCAACTTTTTGAATAAAACAATTACTTTCAAGCCCTCAGTCACTATGACTTATCACTTTGTGTTAGCACAACCATCATTAGCTTTTGAACAGTTGCATTTATCCCATTTCACTCTCAAGGCTTCTTAATTCCTCTTTTATTGATACCGCACCATCATATTTTTCTTTTCTTTATATTGCATCTTAGTGGCTTTGTTCCCTTGCAGGATTAAAAAAAAAAAAGAAAAAGATATTTAAATTGGCAATTTTAGAGAGTTCCTTAAGTTTTAAACATATGATTAGGTATTCATATATACAAGTTAATGAATTGTTTTAGAAACTACTAAGTTACAGTTTAGACGTGGTTTGAAACCTGAGACAGAGAAATACTTTATTGTCAGATCTGCAAACTTATGACAACAGATTTAAAAGATGCCAGACAATAGAGCACAAAATTAGAGGTACAACCTCCTTAAATAATAATAATTCTTTTATGTCTCATGATATAGCTGATCGTGGTTCTTCATAACTTCCTATCTCATGTCGTTTTAAGTTTACCATCTTTCTTTGCCCTTGTTCCGCCATCCGTTCATACAAACTCATTAGCTAGAGACTCGTTTTCAGATCTATCTCTTTCTTTCAATTCGTCGTCTAAGTCTTAAATTTTCCAAGCCTAATGTGTTCTATAAATTTTAACCGTTTCCTTCTGATCATAAGTGTTCTTTTAATAACTGGTTAACCTAATCCGGAAAATCACTGTTGGTAAAATGCAGAAAGAGATTTAAAGAATTACATATTAAGTGGTTAATGATCTTTCTTTCTTTTTTTTATTTTTAAACATATCAATTGACTTTAAATTTGACCTAAATTTACTTCAAGTGTGGAAATTAGATTCATTTACAGACACTATTGTTATGACGTACCCTTCACACAATAACTTCTTGTTTACATTTGCTAATTTACTCATTTGTTGTGAATGTACATTCAGATATGACAAAGGATTCAGTTTGAAAATTGTTCTGTTGTGCTTTTAAAATGAATCTAGGTGTTCTAACACTCAAACCTATGAAGTAATTCATTACTAAAGGCCAAAACACATCACACAAAAAAACATTCTCTACTTTGTCACAGATTTTCCTGAAATTGTTCTAATAAAAAAATTTATATATCTTTTACCAAGTAATTCAATCAAAAAATATCCACTTTTAGTTTATATAACAAAAATACGAAAAAAAAAAAAAAAAAATCAATTCCAATCAATATAATTTCTGTTTGAAATACATCAGAGTATTTTTCTTACTGGAAATAGTAAATTTCATCCTATCACTTAATTAAAGCTAAAATGAAAGCTTTTTCATTTTTAAAAATTAATTTTAAACTTTAGGTGTTGCAAATTAGTAGAGGTATAGTACAGGTAATACATCCATTGTTATATAATCCAGGTAGATCCTAGTAATATCAGATATCACAACTGATCCATAGAGAGAGCTCAATATATAATTATAACAGAACATATATAATATACAGCAAAAACTCAAAATTACCCTATGTGGGTATAGTCTATATATAACTGAAATAATAATAAAAATGAAAGAATATTAATATACAACCCAGTGTATCTGAAGATTTTAATTTTTTAATATTTTTTATTGTTTATTTATATATATATATATATATATATATATATATATATATATATATATATATATAAACATTTAAATCAAAAACAAACAAAATCCCAAAGTTTTTTTTTATACATGATATTTTCCCCTCAACAACAAAATTTGCTCCCAAATTAATAACACGTTTAATCCAGTCTATACCTGCACTTTCAACACCTGCAAAAGCAACTAGAAATTTCACACATTCATCTTCACCTTCTCATTTCTTCCTACTTTAGGAATTAAACACACACACACAAACAAATTTCTTCCTACTATCAACTTCAGGAATTACCGACAAAAATGTTCACTAGAATTCAAACGCACACACAGACACACACAAATGCCACAAGTTAAAAACACATGAGATCTACCTGACCAATGAAAACAAACAACACAAAATTCAAAGTACCAAAACATTTTTTTACCATAACTCATTTCCCAAAAATTTCTGATGAAGCTAAAATAAAATTGAAACATTAAATTTATATAAACGTTTCCCTGTTTATTCCTTATTTTATCATTCTGTTGGATTTAATCCAAATTGGTTTCAAGTGTTTATATGTGTGTGTGTGTATATATATATATATATATATATATATATATTTCTTATTACTTTAAATGCTATTATAGTAGATACTCCATATTTTTAATAGATGTCCCAGTTATATTCATTAAACAGTGTGCATTAAGTTTATTGTGAATTGATCTGAGCATTTGAGAAATCTTAGTAGATAGAAATACATTCCTGCCAGGGATCGAACATACATGTTTTTGAGTAGATGCTTTGTTTTTTTTTAAAAAACAATGTGAATTGCATCTACCAATCTATACATTCAAGAGTTTAAATAAGGAAAATATTGGCAGTGTTCAAACTGGTGTCCACCATTTTAGGGGAAACTACTATTTGGTATGCTTTACACCACTGGTCCACAAAGAGCTTCATAGACCAGAAAGGGTCAATTACCCTTTTAAGGAATGCATATCTTTACAGTTGGACCTACTTCAAACCCTATATCTGTTACCAACAATTTTTTTTTTTTTTAATAATAATGTTTCTAGTGATACATGTGTTACTAATTAACCCATAGCTGGTTCATGCCTTTCCTGAGGTAATTGCAAGTAAGTGAATATAACAAACCAAATTGGAACTCTCTGATTAACAATTTTGAGTCATTACACAACTCACACATCCAAGCTTACAGCAGCTGATATTCCCAAGTGGTCACCCATCTAAGCACTGATTAGGCTCAGCATTGCTTAACTTTGGTGATATTACGGGAACCGGTGTTTCAATATGATATGGCCATAAGCTTCTACTGTTATGGCTGGATGATGTAGTCTGTATGCTAACAAAGTAAGGAAGTTTTATTTTTTTTATAGGATTTTTTTTTTATACGATTTCATGCAGAGAGACATGTGAATAACAATCATGGCTGTTTGAAAGTCAAACACAGCCATAATAAAAAAATAACATTCAGAAAGAAGCAGCCTTAGATGTTTATTGAAATGATATTTTTTTTTTTTTTTTATTTTTGAATGCAATTTTATGTTCCTTATTTCATCATTCTGTAATATTTAATCAAGGTTCAGTTACCATCTTAAGGAATATACATCTCTGTGTCTGGCTCTTCTTGAAACTCATATCTGTTACCTAACTGCTTCGCATTGTCATGTTCACCAATTGAGGTGCAAAGTGTAAAGTTGTCCTGGGTATGATCAGGAGATTGGAGATTTTGAGAAGTGTGGAGCCACCTCTAAATTGCTGCTGTTCCAGGTTCACCCTGACCTGGGGTGGTAGCACCTGTTAGAGTCCCAGCTACGGGAAAATAATGAACCCCCCAAACAATCAACAGTAAATTTTTTATAGCAAAATGACAATCAATGCAACACTAAAAATACATTTTTATAATAAAATTACTAACAATACATTGTATGATCTACAAAATATATATCTAAAAAACATACATCATACTTATTATAAAACCCAGGTTATGTGTGTGTGTCTGTTCGTTTATATATTGGATCGGATTTCCTACATTTTTCAGCCGATTTCAACAAAACTTCACAGGACTATATAAAACTACCTTGCAGTGGTTCTGACAGCGCCAAAAACTGGAAAAACACATTTGTTTTTGCATGAAATCAATTTGAAAACACGATTAAGAGGCATTAATGAAAGGGGGACAACTTATATAGAGTTATACTTATTATAAAACCCAGGTCGTGCGTGTGTGTGTGTTTGTTTAAATATGGGATCGGATTTCCTACATTTTTCAACCAATTTCAACAAAACTTCACTTTTTGTTTTTTTTTGGCAGGTAGTGTTTCTTATTGTCTTGCACACTTTTTTTTTATACTTTTATCAACAAATAAAGGGTAGAGCAATGATTCTAAACCTTTTTTGAGTGACGGACCCCTATAAGAATTAGCCCTTCATAATCAAATAGACAGACAAGCAGATACTTGCAGTCTGATTGCTTTTCTACAATACTTGTTTGTGCATTTCTCCATACTGCACTCTCATGGACACAGCACATACATCAATTATCAACCAGCCATGCTTGAAAGAAATTGCAGTCCTCACCAATATATGAGAAGATAATCAAGCTGTGATAAACCGTGGAAAATAAGAATTATCACTTGTTCTTATGGAGTGGCAAATGATGGCTATCATGCAGAGAATGGTGACACATGCTTAAATGGTAGATAGGGACCCAACAGCTAGTCAAGGGACGGCTAACAGTTGGCATTGTAGGTAGTGACTGGGCACATTTTCATTCAAGCAGGATAGCAAGATGAATTTTATTTTATTTCTTTCAATGGTAAACTGTTGACTGGGACAAGGACAGTATAATGAATATAAACATTAATTTTTTTATCTGATCCTTAAACCCCTTGAAACCCATCCATGAATCCCAAGTTAAGAAACCCTGAATACCCTGATTTAATTCAAACCTGCTTATATATATATATATATATATATCAGATGACTATGGGAGGGGGATACCACCCACTTTTGTTAATCATGTTTAATTTATCCATGTTGCCATGTGAATATATATTTTCATATTATTTATTCATGCGTGTATGTAAATGTTACACTTTCATAGCACGGTACTTATTACACTCACTTAAATGTGATAAATGGTACAAGTTGTCTTGCTACTCACAGATCTATTAATAGTTTAAAACTACTGATTCTCTTTCTGCCAACTGTTTGAATGAAAGAGATGTTAGGGTGGAATTTGCAGTGTGCTTCAAGGAAGTCGGTACATTGGCGGCTTGGCGAAGAGATATAATTTGGGAAGTGTGCCAAAGATGCTTAATGACTGCTTCCAAGCTTACCATACATATCGTGTTTATCAAGGTTACTGTCATTAGGCATTCTGTTTAAAATTGTTTAATGCACATCACAGACATGTCTGTATAGCATTACATAACCACACAGTTAATTTTATTAAAAGGCAAACTAGACTGTTCTGTTGTGTTCTCAAAATTCTAATGTTATGGTTGGTTTGTTGATTTTGTTTAGTGGCCTACCAACATCTATGGATTATTTAATACCGCAATCTAAATATTTTGTAAGAAATTTTGGAGATAATAGTGGTTTTAGTGATATAAGTCTTATTATTTAACCCATAGTTGGAGGGAGAAGTAATGGATTTATACATTTATCAAAGTATTTGCATGTAAGTAATGAACCCAACTGGAATTAGAATTCTGCTCTCATATTAACAATTTTGAGCCATTATTCATTACATCACTTGCACATCCAAGCTTACAACACAGTCACCCATTTTGCTAGTGACCAGGCTCAATGTTGCTTACTTTTAGCAATCATACAAGAACTGGTGTTTTAATATGATATGGCTGTAAGCCTTTACTGTTATGACTGTATGATATAGTCTGTATGCCAAAAAAGTAAGGGAGATTTTTTCTTTAAATGATTACATGTACAAATGTGTAAACAGTTGCTTGAAAGTTGAACAATGTCATAATAAATAACACTTGGAAAGAAGCTATTATTCTGTGGGACAAGCCAATTTTGAGTGTACAACCAGGAGCTGTCAACCTAATCTGCCTGCTGTGTTTTGTTCACAGAAGAAGCGATAATGTAAAAAGAGATATTAGTGCACAGCTATAAATTTTTTACTTTTGACAAATCATGTGCCCTTTCAAATATTGCAATATCAGTTTTACTATTCAGCTATATGCACTGACATTGTAAGGTTTAAAGAAAAAAAGAGAAAATGAAAGAGCTAGCTGTTGGTATTTATTTTGTGATAAGCAAAGGGAATAGCAAGATACAGTCTGGCTTGAATGAAAGTAATTTAGATTTTACAAGAATGGAGATTGAACTTAGTTCATAAATTATCCCACTCGTTTTGTGGTAACAATGTCTTTGTTATGGGTCAACTGTATAGATGGAAATGATTCTTAAATTGTTTTGTGATGTCCAACGCTCACTTGTAACTTCGTTAGGTCAACGAATGTTTGTTATCATTTCTGAAATGCTTGTTATAGATGAGACTTTGTAACACAGGTACTGGTAGTAGTAATGCCTTCAAATAATATTCATACTAATAATACTTGTTCAAATACTAATCACTGAATAGTAATTTGTATAATGATCAGTATAGAAAAATAGTATAGTGGATAGTATAGAGAATAGTGATCCGTATAGTGAATAGTATAGAGAATAGTGATCCGTATAGTGAATAGTATAGAGAATAGTGATCCGTATAGTGAATAGTATAGAGAATAGTGATCCGTATAGTGAATAGTATAGAGAATAGTGATCCGTATAGTGAATAGTATAGAGAATAGTGATCCGTATAGTGAATAGTATAGAGAATAGTGATCCATTATAGTGAATAGTATAGAGAATAGTGATCCATTATAGAAATAGTGATCCGTTTATAGTGAATAGTATAGAAATAGTGATCCATTTAGAGAATAGTGATCCGTTATAGTGAATAGTATAGAGAATAGTGATCCGTTAGTGAATAGTATAGAGAATAGTGATCCGATAGTGAATAGTATAGAGAATAGTGATCCATTATAGTGAATAGTATAGAGAATAGTGATCCATTATAATGAATAGTATAGAGAATAGTGATCCATTATAGAGAATAGTATAGAGAACAGAGTGATAGTATAATGAATAGTATAGAGAATAGTGATCCATATAAAATAGTATAATGAATAGTGATAGAGAATGAATAGTATAATAGAATAGTATAGAGAAAATAGTATAATGAATAGTATAATGAATAGTATAAGAATAGTGGTCAGTATAGAGAATAGTATAGAGAAATGGTATAATGAATAGTATAGAGAAATAGTATAATGAATAGTATAGAGAATAGTGGTCAGTATAGAGAAATAGTATAATGAATAGTATAGAGAATAGTGGTCAGTATAGAGAAATAGTATAATGAATAGTATAGAGAATAGTGGTCAGTATAGAGAAATAGAAATGAATAGTATAATAGAATAGTATATAATGAAGAACAGTGATCCGTATAGTAATCAGTATAGAGAATAGCGATCACTCAGACGTCACGCTAATTCCCATTTATATGTTTCCTTTACGATCACGCAATCTACTTATTTAATAATGGAATCGTCTGTGTTCGTTCACTGGTGATCTGTGTTCAAACTACAGTGTTGGCAACAACACTTTATTCCTATACAACAGTTTGCTAAAAATTAAACTTTGGGTAAAGTAGACTCAGAGATTTTTTTTTTAGATAAGTTTTATAAAAAATATATAATTTAATATTACCTAAGTGTCGTGAATGGTTTTTCATTTGGAAAGAAGCAGCTTTTGATGTTTACCGAAAAGAGAATTTTTTTTTAAGTGTTAAAAATGTTCTGAAGAAAAGAGATCTTGTGAAAAGATTAAAATTAGAAATTGTGTTTATATTTCATTTATTTTATTCCAAATCCAAAGAATTCCAATATGTAATATGTATATATTTCTACACACTGTGTTCCCAGAAAAGAAAACACTTGGTTAAACGCAAGAAAAATTAAATAAAAAGCTTAACCGCAGTACCTTGTCTGTCATCTTTAATGAAACATAAAAAGAGGGATTGCTGCATACACACACACAAACATACAGTGAGAGAGAGAGAGAGAGAGAGAGAGAATGGATTTTATTTTTTTAATCCAACATATTTTTACTACACCAAACATTATTTTTAATGGATACCTGTAGGTACTCTGTTTACTTTAAACAGTATTTCTTTCGCCTACTGGCCTACATACTTGAGAAAACTTAAGAGAATGTGCTCTACACCAGGATTTGAACCTGCACCCTTTTTTTTTAAGATGAACCACCATCTGATCTGGCATGCTTTTAGTGCTTGGCGACTGCAAAGGTGGACACAGGTTCGAAACCTATCAGAAAATGAATTTTATATATTAAGCTTTCTAGAGATGCAAAGTCTTCTTACTGAGAATGGATACTCCTGAGATGATACTTCTCCAATCATTTATAAAGTTATAAAGTCCTTCCTAACAGGTAGGTCCCCGAAGGTAATTGTTAATGGCCAGTACTCCAACTCCTGCCTAAGAGTATACTCCAATCATTTGTGAATATTTATGCTGATGGTATATGAGTTCATCTCCAAAACCCTTGATGACCAGAGCTTGGCAGCTGATCTCTCCTCAGAGACAGAGATACACACACACACATAGTGACACAGAAGGTGGGTGCTGAAAACTTCTTGGGATAACCTAATTCACTGTCAGACAAAAAAAAAAAAAAAAAAAAAAAAAAAAAACAAAAAAAAACAAAGGCGTTGTAAAAACATCACAGTATTCCTTACAGGTAGATGCACAACATTTCTCTATAGGTGCTACCATTTTAAAATATCAGGCTGCTGTTCACTCAGTTTTGCCACAAGCACATTTGCCAGCAGTCAGCCTAAATATATACACCTGATGAAACTGCAAAACTAAAATTATCTGCTAAGGCGGGAAAATAAAAAAAAAAAATTTTTAGCACAACACAAGCAGTTATAGGATCTGTCAATATGTGACATCAAATTGACAAAATATCTTGTCAGCTGCTCCAGGTTATTGTCCTTACTCTTCACCTTTATGATAATTTACAAATTGTCTTGAATCCCTATCAGAATAGGAAGACCCATAGACAAGTAAACCATAAATTATGAATATTCACTTTGCTTTTACAAAATATATACATAAGCACCATTTTTGGTAGGTAAAAGAAATCCAAAACATACGTTTCACTTTGAAAAAAAAAAAGAAAAAAAAAAAAAAAAAAAAAAAAGGGAGGTGAGGCAGGAGTGAAAATAGGATCTTTAAATGTTACGGTCTGCTTTTGCACATCAGAAAATTGGTTATTTGTTTTCAAATGTAGATAAAATATCAATTCCATATCAGAAAATATTTTTAGATTGCAAGAATACATTTTTGCAATACAAGTCCTGCTAATTAAGCCATAGCTGGAAGGGAGAGAAGTGGTGGATTCATACCTAATTAGAATTTGATAAACAAACAAGAAATTATAATGTGGATATAAAGTGGAGGATCAATTCTATATTACAAGCAATATATAAAATGCTCCCTCACTTTGTGACTCCGGTAGTTTCTGTACATTTATGTTCCAGAGAATGTGTAGTTAATCAGTACTTGATCAATTGATTCATTTTCTACAGTTTATTAACCCTTTGCAGGTTATTTAAAGACAGAAAATATCTTTAGATTGTAACTTTTTTTTTTGTTGAGATAATAATTTAGAAATACAAGTCTTACTAATTAACCCATAGCTGGGGAGAGAAGAGGTGGATTTATACCTTTTCCAAGGTTATTTATGAGTAAATGAATATAATGAACCCAACCAGAATTAGAACTCAGCTGCCTGGTTAATAATTCCGAGCTCTTATCCATTACACCACCTGCATATTCAAGCTTATAACACCTGGCAATCCAAAGTGATCACCCATCTAGGTAGTGACCAGGCTCAACATTGCTTAACTTTGGTGATCATACAGGAACCCGTTTCAAGGCTATATCTAGTCCAAATAACAAAGCATATACATCAGACACGTGAAGAAGGCTGGAGAGTGTAACAACCAAGATGAGTATGCTGGTCCAAACAGCAAAGCATAAAAAATGTGACGACACCATGAAAGTAAATTTATACATTTTCTTTGTTCTTGAAAATTGACAACAAAAATATTAAACATTAGATTGTTTATTTACAAGAATAATTTTATATTTACAATATTTTAAAAACAAATACAATTAAAACTAATGCAATGCAATATTTATCATTTGCCAATTTATAAAGATATAAATATGGAAACAATTTTTATTCATAAACATTTATTAAATTATTAAAAAAATGAACCAACTATAAGAAATCTTTATTATTTACCATTTTATAAAGTTTGAATCAATTGGCAATTAGCTGATGTTTTGATTACCATTCCAATAAACAATCTAATAAATAACTAGTATTTATTATTTTGTTGAAAATTCTCAAGACAATGTATAAATTCACTTTAATATGTTTAGGTTTTATTATAATTCTAATCATCTAGTGAAGCTAGTTAAAATAATAATGGTGTCAAGGGAAAACCCTATCCTTTTTGCACAGTTTTTTTTTAGTACATGAAGGTTAAAGATTGCCAAAAGGGGGTTATGGTCAGATACCATCCCTTGGGAGAACTAGGCAATATCATTATGCATGTGTGGAGGTGTAATAGAGAATGGCTAGGACTGATAAATTAGAGAGCCAAGTTTGAGTTCCAGTTAGGCTCATTAAATTGACTTATTTATGGTTAAATAACAGGTTAGACTGGGCCTAATAACTTTGGTTGGCAACTAATCTAGAAGAAGGAAGAATATGAACTCAAACCAGCCTGCAGAGAGTTGGGCACAGTCATGCTATCTTGTACAAGACAACACCATTGAAGTGGCAAGCACAAGGAGAGTGCGAGGCAAAGAGACCGTCGCTGGAGAGCACAAGGAGAGTGTTATGGAGTGATTTCACAGTGGAGGCTTGTATTTGTACAGTCCTAAAAAAAGGTTCAATGTACAAAACGTTAGGAACTTCATATAATAGGTACGACGCAGTAATCTAGTTGCAGTCGCTAATACTTTTAGTATCCGACTAACGGTCGTCTGACATTGACTGATTGACCAACTCACTGAGTGACTCCTACTTATTATAGGTGGGAGAGTCTATTAACTATAGAATAGGTGTGTTCCACTATAACAGAGAGTGTGAGGCAAAGAGACTGTTGCTGGAGAGCGTGAGGCAAAGAGACCGTTGCTGGAGAGCACAAGGAGAGTGCGAGGCAAAGAGACCGTTGCTGGAGAGCACAAGGAGAGTGCGAGGCAAAGAGACCGTTGCTGGAGAGCACAAGGCGAAGCAAAGACCTTTTTGGGAAAGCACACCGTTGTCTGGAAAGAGACAAGGAGATACAAGTGAAGGAAGGCAAAGAGACTGTTGTTGGAGAGCAAAAGGAAGAGTCGAGGCAAAGAGAGCGTTGTTGGAGATAAAGGAGAGTTTTAGGAGCAAAGAGACCGTTGCTGGAGAGCAAAAATTGAGAGTCAAGGCAAAGAGACTGTTGTTGGAGAGCAAAAGGAGAGTGCGAGGCAAAGAGACCGTTGCTGGAGAGCAAAAGGAGAGTGCGAGGCAAAGAGACTGTTGTTGGAGAGCAAAAGGAGAGTGCGAGGCAAAGAGACTGTTGTTGGAGAGCAAAAGGAGAGTGCGAGGCAAAGAGACTGTTGTTGGAGAGCAAAAGGAGAGTGTGAGGCAAAGAGACTGTTGTTGGAGAGCAAAAGGAGAGTGTGAGGCAAAGAGACTGTTGTTGGAGAGCAAAAGGAGAGTGCGAGGCAAAGAGACCGTTGCTGGAGAGCAAAAGGAGAGTGCGAGGCAAAGAGACCGTTGCTGGAGAGCAAAAGGAGAGTGTGAGGCAAAGAGACCGTTGTTGGAGAGCAAAAGGAGAGTGTGAGGCAAAGAGACCGTTGTTGGAGAGCACAAGGAGAGTGCGAGGCAAAGAGACCGTTGCTGGAGAGCAAAAGGAGAGTGCGAAGGCAAAAGGAGAGTCTGCAGAGCAAAGAGACCGTTGCTGGAGAGCAAAAGGAGAGTGCGAGGCAAAGAGATTGTTGTTGGAGAGCAAAAGGAGAGTGCGAGGCAAAGAGACCGTCGCTAGAGAGCACAAGGAGAGGGCACTACAAAAGAACATTTGCTCACAATCAGCTGAAAAATTTAGGACACATGAGAAAAGAATGTTTGAAGAAATTAATGGGCAGAAGACACATCAAATGCAAATAAAGCAGAGAGTAACCTACTTGACATATTTGAGCAAATCAATGATGATGGAATAAGTACAAGGATCTGCAAAGATTCACTAAAAAATTAGCATACCATGATTAAAAAATTTTTTTAATCATGGTAAAAACAATATTTTATTGTCAAAATCTTTGTTATTAAGTGGAAAGACCAAAGGATTTTTTGATTATTAAATCATATATTTTTAATCCTCTTTGAAACCTTCAAAATTTTGGTTAAAAATTGTGCCAGCAAGTGACAATAGGAAATTTTAGTGTCTTATTGCAGTGAAAATCACATTTGGAAATTCTTGCAAAAATCAAATAATTGTTAGATTTTAATCAAGCTTAAAGGACTCATTTACAAATGAATGAAATTATTTTTGAAATGTTTCTTTTAGAAATTTTTTTTTTTTTTTACATTTGCTAACCCACACTTATTTTATGAAACTGAGAAATGCATTTTTGTAGGGCTTAATATTTATTTTAGTTATAAGCAAAAGTCACTGGAGAATTTTGATCAATTTTATTTTTTGTAAAACAGGACCACAGTTACAGAAAATCTGCTCTGAATCTTAAAATAAAAAAATGCAACAAAGACATTATTTAAAGAGAAAAGCTTTTAATTGTTTTTATGAATAAGATATATTATGCACACAATTATCTTAAACTTTTTTTTTCAATATGATTTTTTTTGTTTTTTTTAAAATTTTAATTATAATAATTTATAAACTTTTAAATCTTAAAATTCTGTATTAATTTGTACCAATGAGATGATATTGTTATTAAGTAAAAACTATATTTACTAATCTTAAAAGGAAAAGCTTATTACAATTCAGTAATATTTTAAAAAGAACTTTTTGTGTGCATAAATGAGTTGATTTTTTATATTTGGATGTCCATACACATTATCAGAAAATAAGAATGGTAACTATATTAAATTTAAAATTTATTGGTAATTTTCTGACATTTCCTCAAGTTAGACAATAAAGCCAAAGTACCTAAACCTAAAATTCAATAAAACATTAGGTTATTTAGAATATTTTCCTAGTTTCTTTTATATAAAAAAGGTGCTTACGTTAAATTCATCAAGTAATTTTTACAGTTATATCCCCAATAGGAAAACAAAAAACAAGTATATGTCTATAGAGCTAGTTGTCAACACCTCATATAAACACCCACCTGTATTAAAGAGTGTTTTCCTGTGTTTAAACTAAAAGTAATACATCCGTCTATATTTCTGAGATGAGGTATTATGTACACTATTTATATTATCTGGACTATTGTCCTCATATGTCAACAAAGATGAGGACAATAGTCCGAATAATGTAAATAGTGAAAAGTAATACATCTTTCAAATCAGATGATTAATTCAACTTTAAATCAGCCCATCATCCTCAAATAAAGTTCCACAAGAGAATATTTTACTTTTTAAAGATTTTATTTTTAATAAAGAAAATTATGTTGTGCTGAAGGAATCATACAAATGGCTAAAATCAGCCATTTTTAAAAATTAAATCATTCAAATCAATTTAAATTAGTTTTGAAAGACAGCAAAGTATTTTGCTTATTGGAAATGTTAAATTTAATCTATTAGCTTGAAATTAAAACTAACATAAAAAGCTCCATGATAGATTTTTCCTTTTTAAAAGGTGTTACTTTTCTTTGGTGGCACCTAAATAAATATCATAAATAGTGAATGTAAAAGAAAGCGCTACAAAACAGGTAAATGTAAAGAATTATGCACACCCACCACCGGAAAGGACATAGAAGAGACATCCACTAATATAGGGTATAGACATTATAAAAGAAAAGATGATTTGCTGTCTGTCACACACTCTCTTCAGATGACATCATTCACACATGTAATGTATATACATATGATATGTATGAGTGACTCACATGTATTTTTGCCATTTGATCTTTAGCACTCTATAGGTGACTATTTTTGCCAAGCAAAATGTTAGTCCTGCCAATGCAAGCTGAATTTGAATTTCTTGGTTGTGCAGTCATACCCTTCTATGGCAACACCTGAGAACCAGGCTACTACAATTTCAAAAATATAATACATAAAAGACTATATTTTGAGGGGATTCCATATACAGTAAAAGGGGGAGTAATATTTATAAATGATGCAGAGTGCTAAATGCTAATGTTTACACAAGTGTGCGCGTGCACAAACACACTATTTGTACGAGTTTGAAATAAGACATTGGAATCTCCCAAGAATAAAATCAAAGAAAAAAATATATTTGGTGGGAGGGGGCATATATAGGATTGCATTGAACTTTTCTGAAATTATTCAATAATAAATCAAATTATTAAAATTTATTTAAATTTGTAAAGATACATTTTTTTGGGGGCCTGTCATTGAATTAAATTATGCTGTGCACTTACATGTGCACACACACAAATAGATATACATACACACAATTTGAATAGAACTGAAATGGACATCTATATTATGAGAGCTAATTTTCCTGTTTGGCACCCCCAATGGGTATAATAATAATAACCCCCCACCAAAAAAAACTCACCCTTTGAAGTCTGTTTTTTATTTTTAGTGACACCCTGCACTTATTTAATAAATGTTATAGTATTTTAAAATGACAAACAATTTAGATCTGAAATTTGATTATCTTGCTGCCCTCAAGCCACGAGGACCCACCACTAAGCTAGTACCTTATAAAAAAAACAAAGATTAAAATGCAAGCAGTGGGGAGTAGGGGATGGGGTGGTGGTGAAGGAGAGACATGTTGTTAATATTATCATTAACAAAACAAGGTTAGCCGAGAAAGACCTGTGTGATCCATGTATTACTGGCTTGGATAAGAATAAAAACTTGATTTTTTTTCCCCGCCTTAAAATTAACAAAACAATTTGTTTCTTTTCTTAAGCACGGAAATGTCTATTTTTGATCATGCTTTTCAAAATATTTTCCTTGTCTCTCAAACTTTATTGATCCTTTGTTCATGAAACTGAAATGCAACCGTGTGGATGCGTTGTCGTGTAACAGATAGTAGCAGAGAGAGCCAAGCTAGAGTTCCACTGAAATTTATTGATTTGATTTGTTTGTTTGATGGCATATTAACTCCTTATAGGTCATTTAATGACAAAATTTAATTTTCTTGGCAGCTTTGAAGTAATAAAAATATGATATATGTTATTCTGCTTTCACAATTGACTACATGGTAGTTGATACTCAGCTTTTGTGCATATACATGTTTGTGTGAACAGGGCTACTAGAGGTGGTGATATGTTGTAGTTTTGTTGAAGTTATATTTTGAAATACCGTTTGATTTAAGAAACTGTGGGATATGGATTAATGCCATGAAAGAGTTCTTTTGTTGGTTGATTTTGTTTAGCAGCATATCAACACTTCTATATCTGACCTGGCTCAATGTTGCTTAACTTTGGTGATTGGACGAGACCTGGTGTTTCAATGTGATATGGCCATAAGCAGTTGAATGACAATCCTATGAACTATGACTGATTGATTTATTTGTTTAACGGCATATCCACTCCTAATGGGATATTTAATGCCAAAATTTGATTTTCTTGGGAGCTTTGACATAATAAAAATATAATATATATTATTCTGCTTTCACAATTGAATCCATGGTAGATGATACTCAGATTTTCTGCATATATATGTTTGTGTGGGCATAGTCACTGGAGGCAGTGATATGCATGTTTTATGTTGTATTTTTGTTGAAGTTATATTTTGGAATACAGTTTGATTTTTCTAACAAATTGTAGGATATTATATAGATTAATGTATTGTTGGTAATTTTACTATAAATAGCCATTATTGGTAATTTTTTTTATATAAAAATATGTTGCTGGTATTTTTACTATAAAAATGTATTTTCATACTTTCATGGGACCCTAACGGTTGCTACCACCCTGAGACAGGGTGGACCCAGGAACAACAGCAATTAAAAGGTGGTTCCATTCTCTTCAAAACTGCCAGAGGCCTTGCTGCCAGATGTAGTTTATTGTCATACCCAAGACATTTGTTACATTCGCTTATGTTCAAATACCTTGGGAAAGGTATGAATCCATTTCTTCTCCCTCCAGCTATGGGCTTAATAGTAAGACAGACTGGGCCCTTGGTTGGCAAACAGTCTAGAAGGAAAAACTCTGAATTCAAACAAGTCGAGAGAGTTGTGCGCCATCAGGCTATTTTGCCCAAGACACACCACTGCTGTTACAGCTGCAGTACATGATGATTCTATGACCCTAATGGATTATGGGAATTCTGATAATGAATGCAATCACACTGAAGTTTGGTGGAGATTTAAGGAACCACAGGTTTACAGCCATATCATGCCGAAACAGATTCTCCCAGATATGGGTTAAGTAGTAAAACTTGAATCAGAAAATCATTATTATCTCCCCAAAATTCTATTATTAAGCAAATTCTTCAGAAAAATCTGTTCCTGTTATTAAATGGTATTTTCTCTGTTAGAAAACGTTAGACAGTTCTTTTTGAAATTAGACTTACAGACTCTCGACAATTTAAGGGATAATAGAAATAATTTAAAATAACCACAGCAAAATTAAAAACAAACTTATCGCATACAAATGTAGTAATACCCTCAAAGAAGCTCCTTGCTGCGAGCAGATACAGGGGCTTAAGCTCTCTCCTGATCTCAAATGGAACACGTATATCTGTGTCATTGCAATAGATGCTGGATGAATGGTCAGTTAATTGTATCACTCCAGAAAATACCTAACTCTCACTGACATGCTCCTTCTTTTTAAAATTGACTGATTTGTTTTTTTTATAGTTTATCGACCCTTTGCATGTTATTTGAAAATATTTTTAGATTGTAAGAAGTCTTTTTCTTTTTTAGATAATGATTTAGCAATACAAGCTTTACTAATTAACCCATATCTGGGAGGAGAAGAG